TTCAAATGAGAATGATTTGTAAAAAAACGTATTTTTTTTAATAATAACAATTTAACAAAGATCTATGAAAGAAATTTTCATACGAAATTTGTTCAATAAATAAACCTTTAATAAATTATCAAATCAATTTTAACAAGTAAGAGTGTTATATTCGGCTATGCCGAATCTTATATACCCACCATCAAACCTTGTTTGACTCGAATGAAACTTACTTATGTCGAATTTCATCTATATAATCGTATATTTAGGCCAGTTATATGGGGGGTAGGATCAATTATGGGTCGATCCTCATAAAATTTGGTAGACAGAATTTGGTTCGTATTAAATTTATTTGTGTCGAATTTCATCGCTACACTCGTATTTTTAAACCATTAATGACGTTGCAGTCATTTTCTGAAGGGGACCTTATATGGGGGGTAGGGTCAATCATGGACCGATCCTCATAAAATTTTTTAGATAGATTTTGTCTCGTATGAAACTTACTTATGTCGAATTTCATCTATATACTAGTAAATTTAAGCCAGTAATGAGCGTTAAAGTCATTTTCTGAAGGGGACCTTATATGGGGGGTAGGGTCAATTATGGACCGATCTTCATAAAATTTTGCACAGTGATTTTGGATCATACGAAACTTACTTATGTCATCATCGCTTTTCGAGGGGCCACTTGTATGGGGGCTATCCGAAAACGTGGACCGAAATTGTCCATGTTCAATACAAAACAAACCTTACCTATAAGAAATATTTATGTGAAATTTCAAACCTCTAGCTCTTTCCATTCGGACTCTATCGTGCTTTCAACAGACAGACGGACGGACAGACAGACGGACAGACATGGCTAGATCGTCTTTGAATTTAATGAGGACCCAGAATATATATACTTTTGTGAGTCTATGACCAATATTTCGATGTGTTACAAACGGAATGACAAAATCAATATACCCCCCATCTTTTTTGATGGTGGGTATAAAAATTATAAGCAAATATGTAAACTAGAAGATTGAGAATCCTATAAGAAACCTTTGAGAATTCCATTTCAAGTTATAGACCCCTTTAAAACTTTTGTTTATTGGGTGTAAACAAATTCCTACAAATATAAGTATATTTGCAAATTCCCAAATATGTTCATCCTTCATTTATGTGGATAGAAAATAAAAAAAATATCAAAATTTTTTCTTGATATATGCAATTTTCTTTACATTTTTTACATACTATTTGCTGAATTCTACATTAAACGTCTTTACAAAACTTGTACGAAAAGAAAAAATGATTGCAACCAAAAAAATCTGTGCAGAAAAAAAAAAAACAAATAACAGAATTCTTAAAATTCGTTTCACATTTTGAAATTGTATATTTGAAAGTTTAGTTTTTTTTTTGTTCGGTCTTCAAAATTTTCTATTTTCTTTTGTTTTACCATTGAAGCAGAAGAGTTTTTTTTTTCATCAAACACATGCATAATTTCGTTATGTATATGTAGTCGTATTACAGTTTTTTTGAGGGTTTTCTTCTCCCTGTTACCATACAAGTAATACAGCAAGTTTAGAACAATGTCATGTCTTATAATGTTTATATGAAGAAAAAACTTAACTATGAAAATGTCATAAATTTTCCAAGGATTTCATATTTCGTTGACATTTGTTTGTGGAAGAAGTAATAAGAAAAAAAAAACGACGACAACACAAGAAAGAAAAGAAAATATGAAAAGCTACGCATTTCTTTTATTGGTCTTAAATACTTTGTGTGTTTTCTTATTTTTTTCCAGGGAAAGAAATATTTATTTGATTCTAATTGTACCCTACAGACGTTATAAATACATTCAAATATACAAAAATTTCTTTTAGTTTCTCAAAGATTTTTCAAATTTTTCTATTTCACATTTGAGAATAGTTTGAGAACGATGTTATTTTCCAATTTGAATATTCAGATACTTAAATTTTATTAATTTTACCCGTATAAAAAATTACAATATCTCCAAAACTATTAGTAGATGTCATGTATAAATTCCTGGAGGGCTTTAGGTGATCACCTGCCTTGAAGATCTTACTTTATGGTGGTAATTTTCAAGCACAGAGTGAGGTAGTGATGAACGGCCCATTTTCAACATCTTCAAGCACTTTCCTCTAGTACTCGATCTATCTAATCTCAGATCATTATAGGCCCATTGTCACAATCTACCAGCACTTTTCTCTAGTACTCAAGCTTTATAATCTCAGATCATAACAGTCCCATTTAGGAGCATTCCGTATTTAAAATCTTTCTCAACAATTTGAAAGCAACCACGTACCTTGAGACGCATTTGGTAGACCCGAGGTAGATCTTTATAATAAGTCAATATAACGCTTCCTTACACATATCTAATGCACGACAGTAGGTCAGGTATGAACAGAGTAAAAATAGAAATATTTCCAAACAAAGAAGGGAACTTTATCGCTAACACAAGGACAGAAACACATAGTCATCACGATTCTAACCAACACATAGATCTTTAATTCAGACACTTTGGCCTCAATAGCCTTAAATCACTTTATATCTTGTCCTTGTTTTATTCCATTTAAAATATTTTCAAGACCCAGCAGTCATTTCTCTCTAAGGTCCTGTTGAGTCCTTAAACTAATAATCTTTCCTGTGATTTGTTCTACGTACACTCGTTCCTGTGGTAGCAGATAGTTTCAATTGACTAATTCAGCTTTAAGTCCCGGTATATAAAGATATTGGTAGCGCTTCTATATCTCAGGATTACGATAACAAGTACTTTAAGTAGACACTGCCAAACAGTGGATTTCATGAGCTAGAGACAACTCGCCATCACCCCTTAGTGACATGGAAAGAACACGCTAGAGTAGTTACTTAACTTCCGAGATGCTGAAACATCACTTCTCTGTATTGGGATACCGAAGTACAGGTTAAATCATGCGGAGGAAAGGTCGAGGATACATTTGATACCACCGTTTATAGTCCCAGAACCTCTCCCTCTGCTTAACTTGCGACATGTTCAATTGACTAATTCAGCTTTAAGTCCCGGTATATAAAGATACTGGTAGCGCTTCTATATCCCAGGATTGTGATAACAAGTACTTTACGTGGACATTGCCAAACAGACGATTTCATGGTGTTACTTTTCAAAAACACAGGGTGAGCTAGAGACAACTCACTATCACCTCTTTGTGTCATGGAAAAAACACGCTAGAGTAGTTGCTTAACTTCCGAGATGCTTAAACATCACTTCTCTGTATTGGGATACCGAAGTACAGGTTAAATCATGCGAAGGAAAGGTCGAGGATACATTTGATACCACCACTTGTCACCACCAGTTTATAGTCCCGGAACCCCTCTGCTTAACTTGCGAGATGTTCAATTGACTAACTCAGCTTTAAGTCCCGGGATATAAAGATGCTGGTAGCGCTTCTATATCCCAGGATTGCGATAACAAGTACTTTAAGTAGACAGTCGACAGTCGATTTCACGGTGTTACTTTTCCAAACACAGGGTGAGCTAAAGACAACTCACCATCACCCCTTAGTGTCATGGAAAGAACACGCTAGAGTAGTTGCTTAACTTCCGAGATGCTAACACATCACTTCTCTGTATACAACCATGCACATGAGATTGTTTCTGTAGATTCGCCAACAACACTTAGAGACGTAATCGGGACACCGAAGTATAGGTGAAATCATGAGAAGAGCACCAGTTTATTGTCACGGTGATTCCAAGGAAAGGTCGAGGATACAATTGATACCATCAGATTGTAATCGCACCAAGATGTGGATAGTTTTTCAAGGGGAGAAACTAAATTATACCCGAGTTTACTTTGGCCGAGTCCTGTTCCAATCCCTAATGAACTCTAATTTAAAACTAAAATTCTAAAACAATTCCCCTTAACGTTTAAAAATTCTAGTTTAATTTCTTTTTATTTTCAACATTCTTCCTCTTTGAGCTAGCATACTGTCTGTAGGGTATCTTTCATTTGAGTATGATAAACTTCATTTCATGTTTTTATTTTTGGTAATACATAATGGTCATATATTCCTAAACTCTGTACCATCTACTTACCATAGAAGAAGACAACATTGTCTGCGAAAATATGCATAAATATATGAGTACAGTGTCTAACAAAAGTGCATAAGAAAAAAAACAAAAACTCCAAAATTAGATGCTCTAAATAATATTAATGCAAAGAATAGTTTATCCACAATGTCTTCCAATTACGATATCATACTTTCGTAGGTTTGTGGCGTCGCTTATTATTCGCTCCTTAAATGTTACATCCTCTAAACAATTTAATATAACTTTTTATTTCGTTACCAGAAACGTTAGATTGTTTATGGGATCTAACTTTAATGCTAATAATAGTTAGTAAAAGATCAAGTAATAGGATCAAAGAAAGTTTAAAACTGTTTTTTTCCATAAACAATGACTGGTTTATGGCGTGGCTAGAACAGTTTAAAATGATCTATTGGAACTTTAGATCACTCTCTTTGATCTATACAACCTTGTTTTACAAAATCTCCGATTTTTATTAACTTTTTCAAAAGTTTTTCCAATTATCTCTTTAATTTTATCACACACTGTACACTCATATCTAAACATACAAAAAAAAAAAAAACAAATATTAGATACTCTATTTTGATTACTTTCATAAAGACAATTTAAACTTGTCTCTGACTATCTGTCTGTCGTTTCTCTCTCTGTATGAATTTGTGCAATAATGCACAAAAACTTTTTTAAATTTTTTTCTTTCTGACTCCTTTTTATACCCATAAATTTTGTTACCCATATGTATGCTACAGAAAATTACACAAAAAATGAACTAAACTATAATATGAAATGAACTCAAGAACAAAAAAAGAAATAAAAAATTTTGCTGAATTACAATAATTTCTTTAGAAAAAAATGCATTAAACTAAATTTAAATTCATTTAAATATTTAAATTTAAGCTTCCCAATATTCTTTCTTACATCATTTTAAACGTTTTCCATTTTCGTTTCTTTTCTATTTTCCAGGCTGTGATTAAGAAAACCCGTATTACATGCAAGTGTCATGGCGTTTCTGGTTCATGCAGTTTAATAACCTGTTGGCAACAGTTGTCATCGATAAGAGAAATTGGTAAGTAGTGGTGTTGTTGTTGTTATTATTTGGTTGAATTCTATTTTCAGTTTACGTTTTATCTTTATGTGTACTATGTATGAGAGTTATTTTCGGTCATAGTATATGCTTAAAAGTATGCTATAATATGTGTTTTTTGTTTGTTTTTTGTGTATGCAAATATGCAGTTAAGTGTAGGTCATTTTTAAAGAGAGGGCCAAAGGTAGTTTAAAAATTAAAAACATTTAAGACTTTTGATCGAGTGACTAACTAACTAACTAACTAACTAACTAACTAACTAACTAACTAACTAACTAACTAACTAACTAACTAACTAACTAACTAACTAACTAACTAACTAACTAACTAACTAACTAACTAACTAACTAACTACTAACTAACTAACTAACTAACTAACTAACTAACTAACTAACTAACTAACTAACTAACTAACTAACTAACTAACTAACTAACTAACTACTAACTAACTAACTACTAACTAACTAACTAACTAACTAACTACTAACTAACTAACTAACTAACTAACTAACTAACTAACTAACTAACTAACTAACTAACTAACTAACTAACTAACTAACTAACTAACTAACTAACTAACTAACTAACTAACTAACTAACTAACTAACTAACTAACTAACTAACTAACTAACTACTAACTAACTAACTAACTAACTAACTAACTAACTAACTAACTAACTAACTACTAACTAACTAACTACTAACTAACTAACTAACTAACTAACTAACTAACTAACTAACTAACTACTAACTAACTACTAACTAACTAACTAACTACTACTAACTAACTAACTAACTAACTAACTAACTAACTAACTAACTACTAACTACTAACTAACTAACTAACTAACTAACTACTAACTAACTAACTACTAACTAACTAACTAACTAACTAACTACTCTAACTAACTAACTAACTAACTAACTACTAACTAACTAACTACTAACTAACTAACTAACTAACTAACTAATACTAACTAACTAACTAACTAACTAACTAACTAACTAACTAACTACTAACTACTAACTACTAACTAACTACTAACTACTAACTAACTAACTAACTAACTAACTAACTAACTAACTAACTAACTAACTAACTAACTAACTAACTAACTAACTAACTACTAACTAACTAACTAACTAACTAACTAACTAACTAACTAACTAACTAACTAACTAACTAACTAACTAACTAACTACTAACTAACTAACTAACTAACTAACTAACTAACTAACTAACTAACTAACTAACTAACTAACTAACTAACTAACTAACTAACTAACTAACTAACTAACTAACTAACTAACTAACTAACTAACTAACTAACTACTAACTAACTAACTAACTAACTAACTAACTAACTAACTAACTAACTAACTAACTAACTAACTAACTACTAACTAACTAACTAACTAACTAACTAACTAACTAACTAACTAACTAACTAACTAACTAACTAACTAACTACTAACTAACTAACTAACTAACTACTAACTAACTAACTAACTAACTAACTAACTAACTAACTAACTACTAACTAACTACTAACTAACTAACTAACTAACTAACTAACTAACTAACTACTAACTAACTACTAACTAACTAACTAACTAACTAACTAACTAACTAACTAACTAACTAACTAACTAACTAACTAACTAACTAACTAACTAACTAACTAACTAACTAACTAACTAACTAACTAACTAACTAACTAACTAACTAACTAACTAACTAACTAACTAACTAACTAACTAACTAACTAACTAACTAACTAACTAACTAACTAACTAACTAACTAACTAACTAACTAACTAACTAACTAACTAACTAACTAACTAACTAACTAACTACTAACTAACTAACTAACTAACTAACTAACTAACTAACTAACTAACTAACTAACTAACTAACTAACTAACTAACTAACTAACTAACTAACTAAACTAACTAACTAACTAACTAACTAACTAACTAACTAACTAACTAACTAACTAACTAACTACTAACTAACTAACTAACTAACTAACTAACTAACTAACTAACTAACTAACTAACTAACTAACTAACTAACTAACTAACTAACTAACTAACTGACTAACTATTCCAGATGCCCCACTCAAACTTCTAAAAACTATATGTATATTGGACATGACGCTATTTATTAGCCTAGATAAAAGGCTATTCGATAGAATTAGTCTAAAGACTGGATCAGTGGACCAGGCTAGTCCACTGCATTGACAATAGACTATTAATTGACAATAGACTATTCAGTGGGCTAGTCCATAGAATGGTCAATATACTTTTCCGTTAATGGTCAGTAGTCGAGTGGTCCATAGTGTAGTTATTACATTATTTTATAGACTAATCCATTGAGTGGGGGGAAATATGGAAGACCAAGAAAATGTAATTTAGTACTTTAAACCCAAAAAAGTACCTGCGGGCTCTTCGTTGGTTACAGCAGATCTGTTAATAACATACATAACTGTTAAAATCACATTATTTATACATAACAAAACTATTTTCAACATATTCTTAACATACTTTAAGGTGCTGGTAAAAACACATTATTACCACTAAAAACAGTGTTATCGACTAAGGTTTATGGCTTTACTAAATAAATTTTATTTTTTTTATTTTTTTAAAGGTGACTATTTACGAGAAAAATATGAAGAATCCACAGAGGTGAAGTTGAACAAACGTGGACGTTTACAAGTAAAAGATCCACAATTCAAAGTACCCACAGCCCACGATTTAGTGTATTTGGATGAAAGTCCCGACTGGTGTCGAAGTAATAAACAACTGCAATGGCCAGGTAATGGATAAATTTTTTGAAATTATATTTTAGGGAATAAACTATTTAATTATAAAACTTTTTCTTAATTTTTTTAAGGAACCCATGGCCGTGTGTGTAATAAAACCTCCAATGGTTTAGATGGCTGCGGCATACTGTGCTGCGGCCGGGGTTATAATACCAAAAATATTGTGGTGCGAGAACGTTGCAATTGCAAGTTCCATTGGTGTTGCCAGGTGAAATGTGATGTCTGTGTTAAGATTATAGAGGAGCATACCTGTAAATAATTTTTAATAACCTTTCTAAAGCATTATTTACAGCAGACAAATTGTTTAGAATTATGTTTTTGATTTTTAACTTTCATGAAAAACAATGTAAATGATAAATATTTTTTTTTTTTTTTGTATTTGAATTAAATTAAAATGTAATTTTAAATTAAAATTAACATTTAACAAAACAATTCATTTAAACTAAAAAGCTTAAATTTTTAAATTAGCTTATAAAACTTAAGATTAGTTAAAAACAACAACAACAACAAACTTAATTTATTTAAAACAATTATTATTTTATTAAAATATAATAAAAATTGTAAGAATTTTAAAGATAATGAAAAAAAAAAAAAACAAATTATAAAGTTAAATTTCATTAAATTTAAGATTTAAGCTAAAATTTAAAGAAAATATTTTATTTAAAAAAGAAGTAAATCCCAGAAAAATAATTCCATTAATTTAAGTATTAAGTCTAAATATAAGTGTATTTATTTTATATTAAATAAATGATTACATTACAATATCTTATTAATTATTAAATTAAGCTCTAACTTTTGTATAGAAGAAAACAAAAAACAACTCCCAACTCATGTAATTGTAAAAATCTTATAAATTAATGTAATGTTAGTTTTAAGAAGAATTTAAGATATGAAGTCTAAAAATCGTACAGAGAAACTCAATTAAATGATGAAACTGCATTTACAAAGGGGGTCTGACATCACTATTTCTTCTTAAGAAATCTTCTTAAAATGATACTCAGTTTTTTTTGCCCAAAATTTCGGACTCATGGCTAACAAATTTCTAATGTTTAAGAAAGAACTTTATTTAGCAATATGTTTAGAGGAAACAAATTTGTTTGTACCAACCAATTCTTGCCAATCAGATGTTCTGTTTGTATTAAAGAGAACCAAGTCAAAGCTCCAAAGCACAAAAAATAACCCAGAGACTAGTATTCTAGTGTCTTTTCTAAAAGATCCTCAGAATTTTGACCTCAAAATTTGTCCTTCAAATAAGGGATTCGAGATATTTTCTCTTAAAGTTTGAAAAAACAATTTGACATATGAAGGTCCCATATATGTATATTGGGTTCAAAAAAGGTTTAACCTTTAAAAATATAGATTTTTCGACGAAATTTTGAAGTTAAATTCGGATTTTGCAGTCCTTTAGAAAATCAATAGTTTTAGTAGTGTTATTTTTAATAGTCTAGAGTTCGTAAGTTCGGAGAAATGTCTTCAAAAAAGTCTAAAATACATCAGTCTTTTCTTCCCTTTCTAAATGCCGTTTTATCCACAAATTAAGTGATACAAATTAATTTAAAATCTATAAGACTTTCTTTTAAGATAAGAATTCACTAAACTAAACATAAAAATCCCCTTAATAATTAATCTTTAACTTTGTTTCTAGTTTAGATATATATATATTTTTTAATTAAAAAAAAGCTTTATGTATAATTTTATTTAAAAAAAACTATCTACTTATCAAATCTTAAGAAAAAACAAAACAGAACAAAACAAAACTCGAATATTATTGATTACTGTGTGTATTTGACTTGTATTAAACAAATTATTTTGTAAAAAAACAGAAATATTATTAAACATTAAAGAACAAAATATTTTAATTTATAACAAAAGAAATAAAAAAAACTCTTATTATTGCCCAAGTTGTTAGAAAGATTTTGAAAAATTAGAAACAAAATATGTAAAGGTGAAAAGAAAACGATAAAAATCCAAGCGAAATATATTCAATTCATTGACTAACTAGATTAGAATTTAGTCGTCTATATTATAGTCTAATAGACTAGACTAAAGTCCAATCAACTAGACTAAAGTCCAATCAACTAGATTAGAGCCTAATCGACTAGATTAGAGCCTAATCGATTAGATTAGAGTCTAATTGAATATATCAAAGTCTAATCGAATAGGTTAAAGTCTAATCGACTAGATTAGAGTCTTATCTTATAGACTAGATTAGAGCCCAATCGATTAGATTAGAGTCTAATCGAATATATTAAAGTCTAATGGAATAGGTTAAAGCTTAATCGACTAGATTAGAGTCTTATCTTATAGACTAGATTAGAGTCCAATCGACTAGATTAGAGTCTAATCGACTAGATTAGAGTCTAATCGACTAGATTAGAGTCTAATCGACTAGATTAGAGTCTAATCGACTATATTAGAGTCTAATCGACTAGATTAGAGTCTAATCGACTAGATTAGAGTCTAATCGACTAGATTAGAATCTAATCGACTAGATCAGAGTCTAATCGACTAGACTAGATTCTAATCGACTAGATCAGAGTCTAATCGACTAGATTAGAGTCTAATCGACTAGATCAGAGTCTAATCGACTAGATTAGAGTCTAATCGACTAGATTAGAGTCTAATCGACTAGATTAGAGTCTAATCGACTAGATTAGAGTCTAATCGACTAGATTAGAGTCTAATCGACTAGATTAGAGTCTAATCGACTAGATTAGAGTATAATCGACTAGATTAGAGTCTAATCGACCAGATTAGAGTCTAATCGACTAGATTAGAGTCTAATCGACTAGATTAGAGTCTAATCGACTAGATTAGAGTCTAATCGACTAGAGTAGAGTCTAATCGACTAGATTAGAGTCTAATCGACTAGATTAGAGTCTAATCGACTAGATTAGAGTCTAATCGACTAGATTAGAGTCTAATCGACTAGATTAGAGTCTAATCGACTAGATTAGAGTTTTGTCGACTAGATTAGAGTTTAATCGACTAGATTAGAGTTTTGTCGACTAGATTAGAGTTTAATCGACTAGATTTTAATCTATTCGACTGGATTGTAGTGTAGTCGACCAGATTAGAGTCTAATCGACCAGATTAGATAAGATTAGATTAGATCAAGAAGACTAGAGTCTAATCGACTAAATTAGAGTGCAATAAACTAGATCAAATCTAATCGATTAGATTCGAGTCAAATCGACTATTTTAGATCTAATAAGCTAGATTAGAGTCTATGCGAATACATAAGAGTTTAATTAGTCGACTATATGAGAGTCTAATCGAATAGATTAGAGTCTTAAGGATTATAGTCTAATCGACTACATTAGAGTCTAACCGACTGTATTATAGTCTAATCGACTAGATAAAAGATTAGAGTCTAATCGGCTAGATCACAGTCTAATCGACTGGATTAGATTCTAGTAGAATAAATTAGAGTTTAATCGACTAGATTAGAATCTTATCGAATAAATTACACTCTAATCGACTGGATTAGATTCTAGTTGAATAGATTCGAGTTTAATCGACTATATTAGAGCCAAGTCGACTAGATTATCTTCTGATCGACTAGATTAAGGTCTAATCGACTTTATTATAACCTAATCAAATAGATTATAGTTTAGTGGAATAAATTGGGATCTAACAGGATAAATTGGAGTCTAATCTGCCTGATTAGGGTCTTATCTCCCAGATTTGTATCTAGTCTACTATACTGGAGCCTAGTCTACTGTATTTCAGGCTAAATTGACTGAATTAGAGTATAGTTGACTTGATTAGAGTATAATTGACTATATATAAAAGCCTAGGCGATTATATTACTTGTTAGTCTACTAGATTAGAGACTGGACGACCAGCTGAGACTTTAGAGCATTAGATTAGTATCTTATCGACTAGATTAAAGTCTAATGGACTAGATTGCAGTCCTTTTAACTAGATTAAATTGGAATCGACCATATTAAAGACGAATTCACTAGATAAGAGCCGAATTGAATAGCTTAGTGTGAAATCCAATAAATTTAAGTCCAATCCAATTTGAATCATGTCGTCTAAATAGAAATTCAAACGATTGGATTACAAACAAATATTATTTGCTACATTAAAGACGATTCTTACAGATTAGGGTCGTTCGACTAAATGAAGATTAAATCGGCATTAAAGGATTGTGACAAAATTATAGTCAAAACATCTTGTATACCGAAACAAGAACAGAAACTATAGTTTAATATCAGATAAAAGTTTTAATCACTTACATTAAAATTGTTGTTGTTAGTAATATTATAAATCGTAGCAAGTTCAAATATTTAAAAAGTCTAGATGTTTTAATATTCGGTACGAACAATTGCTAACAATCTTTGTCTGAGAAAATAGAAATATTCGTATAGGCATTGGTTTATCTTGAAATTATATACTTAGAAACTATTTTATAATGTTGCCACCTTTCCACATTATAGTTGCCATATAATGCAAAACTAATTAAATGTTTTAAATCTGACATATTAGCCTTTTATTAGCACCAAACTAACGTAGACTTGATGGGAAAATATTTGTTCTTTAAGTTTTGGTAGTAGAGGTGAATTAAATATTTGATAAATGGATCTCAATATTGTGTTTTTTTGTAGCCACAAGCTAGTCCAGTCTAATTGGGTGTTTGCAGCGGAATTTTAGATTGATAATTGACATATACATATTTACATATATAGCTAAGCGAGACCTTTTGCCCAGAGCGCATTATCAGTCTATTCAAAAGTTCTACTGGTGGACATATGTAGTTCTCAGAATGACTATTACCAAATTGTTATTAATATCACGATTTTGTACTGTAATGAATAAAATCGACGCCATTTTGTTGACTAAAACATCTTCAAAAGGGATATATTTTTTAGCCCTTCAGCTCCTCCCATTATGAGGCAAGAAATCAATACTATGTTGTCGCTTACTTCAGTCATTCATAGGCAAACTTAGGCGGTTATTGCTCATGACTAGAAATTGTTATAATTCGGATTTAAATCTGAAAAGCAGTTGCAATTAAAAGTTTTTTTTTTTAATTTTTTGAGAATTACACACAATTCCCTCAAGTCATTAGGAATGTAGTATGTAGTTTTCTATGCACCTTTTCCTTATAAAATTCCTCTAATAAATCATCAATAACTTTATTAATAGTTTATTAATACAGCAAACATACAATTTTTACACTGCACTACCATCGAACTGTATTATCAATTATTACAACAAATCTTTAATTACTCGTAACTTCGTATATAGAAACTCTTCTAAATCATATACTAAGCTCAATATTGAGATCGTTTTATTTTGTTCATAATAAAAATTAGAACTTTAAATTGTAGTAGAATTTATAAAATTACTTTTTCTAATTTCGATATTTTCTCTAACATTTTTTTTATGGTAATTTCAACGATTTTTATATGTATAATTTTAAAAAATTTTTAATAATTTAATACAAGATCAATAATATATAAAAATTTTATAAAATACACACACAGCAGTAAGATTTACAAATTTGTTCGAAATTTTTAGTTTTTAACTGTTAAGTTAACTGACATGTCATAAGGTCAAAAATCATAATGTTCATGGATGTCCAGACACCCCATGTTTTCCATGTGAACAAAATGTCATTGGGGATTATGTCACGCCACTCTTTTAATCAGATAGTGTAAACTAAACATCGCTATTAATTTAATTTTAAAGTTTTGTTGTATTTTAAGTTCATCTAACACTAAGTAACTATTGTATTTATTAGATAATTAAGTACTTAACTTTTAAGCCTTAGATGTACTGGACTGGCTGGTATTTAGTATTAAATTTTATGTGAACAAATAATAAACAAAATCCAAAATTATTTAAAAAACTGAACAAAAAGAGAATATAAAATAAATGAAAAAGCTAAGCAAAAATAAAAAGAAATTAGTGTTTTTAATTTATTTGATAATTTGTCAAGCTAGACTAACTGTTACAGTTGATTATAGTTTAGTCTATAGCAATTGTCTGTAGTTTAAGCTGTAGTACTGATTCGACGATGATATAGTATGGTCAATTCTATTGTCTAGTCTCTAATAGAGTCTATTATATAGTCTAGTCTAGTTTAGTCATCGTAGTCTAGTCTATAGTTAGTCTATGAGTCGTTAATAGTCTAGTCTAGTATGTCTAGTCATAGTTCTAGTCTAGCTAGTCTATCTAATATAGTCTAGTCTATAGCCTAGTCTATAGTCTAGTCTATAGTCTAGTCTATAGTCTAGTCTATAGTCTAGTCTTAGTCTAGTCTATAGTCTAGTCTATAGTCTAGTCTATAGTCTAGTCTATAGTCTCATAGTCTAGTCTATAGTCTAGTCTATAGTCTAGTCTATAGTCTAGTCTATAGTCTAGTCTATAGTCTAGTCTATAGTCTAGTCTATAGTCTAGTCTAGTCTATAGTCTAGTCTATAGTCTAGTCTATAGTCTAGTCTATAGTCTAGTCTATAGTCTAGTCTATAGTCTAGTCTATAGTCTAGTCTATAGTCTAGTCTATAGTCTAGTCTATAGTCTAGTCTATAGTCTAGTCTATAGCCTAGTCTATAGTCTAGTCTATAGTCTAGTCTATAGCCTAGTCTATAGTCTAGTCTATAGTCTAGTCTATAGTCTAGTCTATAGTCTAGTCTATAGTCTAGTCTATAGTCTAGTCTATAGTCTAGTCTATAGTCTAGTCTATAGTCTAGTCTATAGTCTAGTCTATAGTCTAGTATATAGTCTAGTCTATAGTCTAGTCTATAGTCTAGTCTATAGTCTAGTCTATAGTCTAGTCTATAGTCTAGTCTATAGTCTAGTCTATAGTCTAATCTATAGTCTAGTCTATAGTCTAGTCTATAGTCTAGTCTATAGTCTAGTCTATAGTCTAGTCTATAGTCTAGTCTATAGTCTAGTCTATAGTCTAGTCTATAGTCTAGTCTATAGTCTAGTCTATAGTCTAGTCTATAGTCTAGTCTATAGTCTAGTCTATAGTCTAGTCTATAGTCTAGTCTATAGTCTAATCTATAGTCTAGTCTATAGTCTAGTCTATAGTCTAGTCTATAGTCTAGTCTATAGTCTAGTCTATAGTCTAGTCTATAGTCTAGTCTATAGTCTAGTCTATAGTCTAGTCTATAGTCTAGTCTATAGTCTAGTCTATAGTCTAGTCTATAGTCTAGTCTATAGTCTAGTCTATAGTCTAGTCTATAGTCTAGTCTATAGTCTAGTCTATAGTCTAGTCTATAGTCTAGTCTATAGTCTAGTCTATAGTCTAGTCTATAGTCTAGTCTATAGTCTAGTCTATAGTCTAGTCTATAGTCTAGTCTATAGTCTAGTCTATAGTCTAGTCTATAGTCTAGTCTATAGTCTAGTCTATAGTATAGTCTATAGTCTAGTCTATAGTCTAGTCTATAGTCTAGTCTATAGTCTAGTCTATAGTCTAGTCTATAGTCTTAGTCTATAGTCTAGTCTATAGTCTAGTCTATAGTATAGTCTATAGTCTAGTCTATAGTATAGTCTATAGTCTAGTCTATAGTCTAGTCTATAGTCTAGTCTATAGTCTAGTCTATAGTCTAGTCTATAGTCTAGTCTATAGTCTAGTCTATAGTCTAGTCTATAGTCTAGTCTATAGTCTAGTCTATAGTCTAGTCTATAGTCTAGTCTATAGTCTAGTCTATAGTCTAGTCTATAGTCTAGTCTATAGTCTAGTCTATAGTCTAGTCTATAGTCTAGTCTATAGTCTAGTCTATGGTCTAGTCTATGGTCTGGTCTATGGTCTAGTCTATAGTATAGTCTATAGTCTAGTCTATAGTCTAGTCTATAGTCTAGTCTATATAGTCTAGTCTATAGTTTAGTCTATAGTCTAGTCTATAGTCTAGTCATGGCCTACAGACGGACGGAAAGACTGACAGAAGTCACTAAATCGATTCAGAAAATGATTCTGAGCATATATAGGTATACAATAATGTTGGCGTAGATCCAATATATCTTTGCCACTAAAGTGGTGTAGGGCATAATTTATTGTGAAAAAGATCTAAAAATTCATACACGAAAAATGCACACCACTGCGTATGCTTGATTTTTATTAGTTTAATAATAATACGTCACCGCGACGCACATTTTTTTTTGCAATTTTGACCTTAAATGTAAGCGTGCAACAGATTCCAGATGCCCTAGTCATTTCGACTATCAGTATATGGTTTGCCTGAGCCATCGGTCACATAAATGCTTTTATAAGAGAAAACATAAAATATTATAAAATATTTTTTTAAGAAAAATTTCATTCATTTTTACCATTTTTAGTTATTGGTTTTTTAAAGCCTGGATTATTTATCTTTGTGGTTGCTGATGGTAAGGCACTCAACTATCATCACATTGGGACCACCACCAGGCTTTTTAAACAACGTATAAAGTCAATACAAATAGATGTATACTTAAGATAATAACAGCAATCTGAAATAAAGATACAAATAAAAAATGTATTAGTTTCTTATTCAGTTCAAGATCTGAAACAATTTCACTTCAGTTTTAGATCAATTCTCTTCAGTTCTAGTTCGGATTTGGTTTTGTTATGGTTCTGTTCTTGCCTTGGCTAACAAATTTCAGAATATTATGAGATAAAATTTAATTTCATAGGAAAATCTTTCGGAGATTCCCGTGTTAGAAACAAAAATAAAAAAATTCAGAAATCTTGATGAATGTTAAACATAGAACAAAATTTAAAATTTGTTTTTTTGTTAGATTCAAAACTACTGTCCGAATCTGGTAAATTCAAACGCTGAATCCGAAAATGTTCTCAAAGTGGATCTAGGTCCATTGTTTCATCAATATTCCCGAATGTTTTTTTTTACTTTGATCAATTTGTGTTATTATTTGAGGATCTTGAAGAAGAGGGCATCTGAAATTTGTGATTTAAGTCTTAAATCTAAGCTGAATCCGAAAATGGTTTCAGAATTAAGCTATTTCCAATATTTCATAAAAATTTTGAACCAAATATCACAGGGAATTTCATTTCAAATCAAAATTTTTCTAATATATAAGGTTCTTGACTTCGCTAGCAAATTTTTCAATAGTCAAGACAAGAGCCCCAAATATAAAGGAAATTTTGTAAAATTTTGAGATAACATAAAATTTTGTAGTAAAATCCGTCTGAAATTTTATTCCAAAATTTTCATGAAATATTCGTCTCCGGTCTCCGGTAAAATTTTTGCAGCTCTAGGCCTCAAGACCCTAGATGCCAAATTACTTGGAATAAACAAAATTCGGGAATTTTAAAGAAATATTGGTCCCAGGTCCATTCTGAAACCACTTTTGGATTCAGCGTGGGATTTTACTAGAAAAATCAGTTTCCACCCAGATTCAGCCAGTAGTTCCCGAGTTTGAAACAAAAATAAAAAATCAGAAATTTGTATGAAAATGAAAGCGAACTTTCCAAAATTATTTTCCAGTTTTAACAAGTAGGTAACCTTCTCCTTAAAAATCAAACTACCCCAAACAGATTCACTTAATAAAAAAAAATCGAACTACCTGTCTAATCAAATTTCTATTACAATGCAAATTTTTGCAAATAACACAAAAATAATATACTCCAAAATAGACAAAAAAAAAAAAAAAAACTACAACAAATGGAAATGTTCTCATCCACAAATAAATACAAAATAATAGACCAAATAAGTTTTCACTTTCATTGGTTTTAGGGGCTTTTATGCGACGATAAAACAGGCTCCCTAATCGTCTAACAAACTAAATAAATATCTGTTATTAAATAAAGACAATAGATAAAACCCAAAACGACTGATAATAATTCTAATAATAAAGAGACATTTTTACTAAATGCTAAAATCCTATTTTACCCATGAGTAGACAATAAATTCAGTCTATTTTAACTAAGGCAAGAGTAAAGTTGTGCTAAATTACCGAAAACAAACGGGAAAGTGTTCAAACAGTTTGAAAAAGGAATCTAAAGAAAAATTTATGAAAAGTTGTCTAAATATCTGCAAATGGATTTTAATTTGAAAAAAATCATTATAAATCGAAGACATTTAATAAAAATACCTTAATTGTTTAACAGAAAAATACAGATTTAAAACCTAGAATGTTTTTCAAATATTTAATTTATTACATATTCTTCAATATTTCTCTTAATGCTGGTGGTTTAATGGGTGTGGAGATTTTAACTCCGGCCACTGGTTTAAAACTTTTAAAAAATGTCATGAAACTAACGGATACTCTTTTGGAAGTCACGTAAGTTTTGCATGATTTTCGTTAGTGCAACTTGGTTATAATGTCAGGGCAGTGTAGTCACCTTTTTCACAGGTTTGTTACTAAAGTCTGATGAAACATAATAAAATAGTAATCAGTTTGTATCTTTTATCGATTATTAATATTCGCAGTTATTTTATGGGTTTAAGTTAAAAGGTACTTACATATAAATTTTATTTCAGTCATAGGGAAACAAATATTGAGCTATCAGCATTTCTATGAGATGTCAACTATACCTTAATCAATAGTCTGTAGACCAGTTCATTTAATAGGCTTGTTGATAAACTAAGTAGTCAATAGACTAATAACTAGAAAATAGACTAGCCAATACACTAGTTTATATATTAATCAATAGGCTAGTTCATAGACTAATTAATTAAGTGAACACTCACGTCTATAGTCCAGTCTAGTGTTGGAACTGAGCAGCCGATTTTAATATATTGTAATGTAGGGTATTTTTAGCCAACAAAAAAGTAAAAAAAACAAACATTAAATATAGATAAAATATATACGTACATATTTACTAATATTAAACGTTTTGTACTTATTTTGATTTATTACTTAATACACGGTTAACATTTTAATGATGATAGTTTTATACTCTCATAGTTAGTTGTATATCTGAAGAGAATACACCTGTAATAGTGATAGAATCAATAGTTTATATTGTGATATTGCAAATTACGGAATAGCGAAAAAAGAAACCTTGAACTATAGATAAGAAAATAGTTTCCAGTAATAAAAAACGTATTGGAAAATATATGATAACATTTTTAGTAGATCCACAAAGAATGCATCATATTTATAGGTACCCATCTTCAGGACTTACGGCCAATTATGTCCCTATATCAAATTATTGGATTCAGTTGGTATTAAGCAGCATCCTAGAATGCAGTAGTATTTCGATTCTTACCTACAGTGAACTAGAACTGAACAAGAACTGAACTAGAACTGAACTAGAACTGAACTAGAACTGAACTAGAACTGAACTAGAACTGAACTAGAACTGAACTAGAACTGAACTAGAACTGAACTAGAACTGAACTAGAACTGAACTAGAACTGAACTAGAACTGAACTAGAACTGAACTAGAACTGAACTAAAACTGAACTAAACTGAACTAGAACTGAACTAGAACTGAACTAGAACTGAACTAGAACTGAACTAGAACTAAACTAGAACTAGAACTGAACTAGAACTGAACTAGAACTGAACTAGAACTGAACTAGAACTGAACTAGAACTGAACTAGAACTGAACTAGAACTGAACTAGAACTGAACTAGAACTGAACTAGAACTGAACTAGAACTGAACTAGAACTGAACTAGAACTGAACTAGAACTGAACTAGAACTGAACTAGAACTGAACTAGAACTGAACTAGAACTGAACTAGAACTGAACTAGAACTGAACTAGAACTGAACTAGAACTGAACTAGAACTGAACTAGAACTGAACTAGAACTGAACTAGAACTGAACTAGAACTGAACTAGAACTGAACTAGAACTGAACTAGAACTGAACTAGAACTGAACTAGAACTGAACTAGAACTGAACTAGAACTGAACTAGAACTGAACTAGAACTGAACTAGAACTGAACTAGAACTGAACTAGAACTGAACTAGAACTGAACTAGAACTGAACTAGAACTGAACTAGAACTGAACTAGAACTGAACTAGAACTGAACTAGAACTGAACTAGAACTGAACTAGAACTGAACTAGAACTGAACTAGAACTGAACTAGAACTGAACTAGAACTGAACTAGAACTGAACTAGAACTGAACTAGAACTGAACTAGAACTGAACTAGAACTGAACTAGAACTGAACTAGAACTGAACTAGAACTGAACTAGAACTGAACTAGAACTGAACTAGAACTGAACTAGAACTGAACTAGAACTGAACTAGAACTGAACTAGAACTGAACTAGAACTGAACTAGAACTGAACTAGAACTGAACTAGAACTGAACTAGAACTGAACTAGAACTGAACTAGAACTGAACTAGAACTGAACTAGAACTGAACTAGAACTGAACTAGAACTGAACTAGAACTGAACTAGAACTGAACTAGAACTGAACTAGAACTGAACTAGAACTGAACTAGAACTGAACTAGAACTGAACTAGAACTGAACTAGAACTGAACTAGAACTGAACTAGAACTGAACTAGAACTGAACTAGAACTGAACTAGAACTGAACTAGAACTGAACTAGAACTGAACTAGAACTGAACTAGAACTGAACTAGAACTGAACTAGAACTGAACTAGAACTGAACTAGAACTGAACTAGAACTGAACTACAAATGAACTAGAACTGAACTACAACTGATCTAAATCTGAACTACAATTGAACTAGAACTGAACTAGAACTGAACTAGAACTGAACTAGAACTGAACTAGAACTGAACTAGAACTGAACTAGAACTGAACTAGAACTGAACTAGAACTGAACTAGAACTGAACTAGAACTGAACTAGAACTGAACTAGAACTGAACTAGAACTGAACTAGAACTGAACTAGAACTGACTAGAACTGAACTAGAACTGAACTAGAACTGAACTAGAACTGAACTAGAACTGAACTAGAACTGAACTAGAACTGAACTAGAACTGAACTAGAACTGAACTAGAACTGAACTAGAACTGAACTAGAACTGAACTAGAACTGAACTAGAACTGAACTAGAACTGAACTAGAACTGAACTAGAATTTAACTAGAACTGAACTAGAACTGAACTAGAACTGAACTAGAATTGAACTAGAACTGAACTAGAACTGAACTAGAACTGAACTAGAACTTAACTAGAACTAAACTAGAACTGAACTAGAACTGAACTAGAACTGAACTAGAACTGAACTAGAACTGAACTACAACAGCACAACGAACTCGAAGATCACAGAAAAAGATGCCTAGTTCTTTTGATTGCATCTGAGGGACTATCGGCTTAATCGATAAGGCTATTTAGACCACAGAGGAAGGCTACCCTTTGAAATTCAGATTAAAACTCAAAAATTAAATAAACAAAGGTATAACTCCAGTGTAATAAATCAATAAATCGTTGAACTAAATTTAGCAAGGATCTATTCATTATTGAACTTCTATAGTCTAAGCTTCCCAAAATCAGTTTAAAAATGGTCTTGAGATGTCAATTATATAGAATTGATTAAAATTTCTAATATTTTTCTTTATAGCCCCTACATCAACATTACTATCGCTGGTATTCCCCCAAATTGTGTGCAAATGGTGTGTAAATTTGTTTGCTTTAATGGTAAATCAACCGATATCGATAAAGATATTCTTTTCACTTCTGAGAAAAATGTAAGTTTAAATAAAATACAATACAATAAACCCGAAAGGAATGGCAATTTATTATAATACTTTCAGAATTATTTCTGTTCCAACATCGATGAACTGCGTCTTTATAATTATGAATTTCCCGACAATATTCTCTCCTATGGTTTTCTGGGCAATTACAGTGACAAAGTTCAGACGCTTTATATAGCTTCAGCAAATATAACTGATATTGAAGCTGGAGCCTTTGCGAAAGGAAGATTCAAAGAGATTTTCTTTGAAAACCTACACATTAAAGAATTGAAAAAGGATTTCTTTGAGGGTATATCGTCTGACTTTAGCGCTTTATCTATTATACAAAAAGAAACACCTTTGGAAATAGTCTATTCGGATTTTCTCTGTTATGTAAAGTATCAAATAAAATATTTGACATTACAAGCGGGTTTGAAGAGTGTGCGCAATGTGACGGGTGGTGATTATATATTGAATAATTTGTTGTATGCGGACTTAAGTTTTAACAATTTCGGCGATAACATGGGCTATTCAGAATTTAGTAAAGTCTCCATGTTGGAACATTTGGATTTGTCACACTCCAATTTAGAATATTTACCTTCTTATATATTTTCGGATTTCACTACGACTTTGGAATATTTGGATTTGTCATATAATAAATTGAAAACTATTAGTCGTAGCATATTTGGCTGGAGAGAATTACCGAGAGATTTAAAGATATATGCCAACGATAATGAATGGGCTTGTTCGTGTGATTTACAAATGGAATTTAAAGCTATTTTTATTTACTATAGAACCACCTTATTGTGCTCGGAACCGGAGTGGTATAGAGATTGGTCGGTATTCGATGATGAAATATGTGGTGTAAGTTCTTTAGAGCACTTTGCACCAACTGAACCCATTGTGAAAACGTCTACATCTGGCTATTTAAACGATGCTAATATGATGCCCACCATAGAGGTTAATGAAGGGCCTTTCTATAAGCAAACAACAGAAGAGGTATCCACCACTTCCGCTCATTATATAGAGAAGCCTAGTTTTGTAACTAAAGGCGATTTAGTGAAGTTGGATTGTCTGGTCGGTACCACCAATATTAGCCAAAGGATTGTGAAACCCATGCGTTGGCCCTTGATTTTATTTGATGTCACACCTCAGGATAATTTACGAGTAGATGTTGAAGTTGTCTCCCCCTCCATTCTTGATGATTCTTATGGTCTAATATGGTTTAGCAAGGTCACCACCCAGTATTATAAAATGGAAATAAATTATAATGAATACGGTTTGGGTTGCTTCAATTCCATATCGTTTGTCACCACAGTCGATGATCTGGTACCCAATACTGCTTATACCTTTTGTGTAGTGAAAAAGAATCAAGTGACCACCTCTCCCTTCAGTTGCAAGTCCATACATGTAGGTGGTAATGTGGCGGTACAATATAGTGCTTGGTTAACGCGAGACATGAGAGTAACCGGTTTGTCATTGGTTATTTTTGGCATCATAATGTTTTCATTTGCCGGAATTTTAATGATCTATTTGCTGTTGAAACGCAAACCCATTTTACTTAAAGGCAGCAAGAGAGTTACCACTCTTCATGCAAATAGTGATGAGATAGTAGTATTGCCTAAAGAGAACTCTGTTCAAACGATTAAGGAGAAAGAGGAAAAGTTGGCCAGACGTGGGTAAGTAACTCCCAAGCAATATTTATCATTAATAGAATTAAATTTGTAAAAGTTTTCCTTTCAGACCCTTTTCCTGCTCCCAAATACGACGCAAATCCAACGAGAGTGTAGCCAGTTATCAAAGTTATATCAATACCAATTTATATGAAGTTATACCGGCATATAGTAAATTAAATAATAATAACAACAACCCCTCGCTATATATCACTAATGCAACAGAGGAAACAACTCTCCCAGATGTAGTAGATAACCAAGACACAGAAAGTTGTTATCTGACTCCCCTACAAACAGTTTCTAGTACATCTAATCTGGTTAAATATGCCGAAATTCCTTATCGTGCTAAACGCATGTCTAACGATGAGCTGCCCGAAGTGCCAGCCGATCAACCACCACTCTCTTTGGCTCTTAGTGTATCGGTAGATAAACCAGAATATGCCCAAGTGGGTACAATTTATACATTGGATAGTCAAGTTTAGTATTTGATTTGTTTGTTTTTTTTTATGTGAAATCTTTAATGTTTATAAATTGTGTAATAAAAATTAATTTCTTTCTATAAAATTTTAATGTGTGTGATGGCAAAGTTATGTGTTTAATTGGGGATAAGTTATTAGATGGAATCAATTAGAAGAAGCATCCAAATATATGATGGAACCAAATCTTTCACCAATCCATAGACAAAAATTAATTTTTTTCTCGAAAAGGAGTTAAGTTGGATTCGCAATTATTTCATAATTACATGCTTTCAGAACATTGCAATAAGCTTTCAGAACCTTGCAACCTATAACATTTTTTATAAAAAGTCAAGTTACGTTAATTTAGGTCCAAGCAGCAAGATATACGGACATACGTGCAAAAAACGATAGAATTGGTACAGGCTGACATCAAACCCAAAATACCTGCTATTTCAGTCTATTAGTGTGCTCAACTCAATCGGGTCTATCGTATTCACTTAGTGCTATCACTTCAGCATTTCAATGTCTGAGAAGTTTTGTGCACAAATATAAAGATCTTAAGCATCTTAGGGTTGAATCACATACCTCACTTTGCCTGTCCTATGATTTACTACCAGATGTGTGGCATATAACGATCCGTTTCATCCATTCCTCTATTGCGACCTTGATTAAATAGATTCTGTTTCCTATGTCACTACTGCATTATCGAATGTTCCATGTGTCAAGAGAGGATGGATCGCTCATTCCATTTAACTTGTTAGTCAGAATTTCGGTTAGAATTTTATTGAGCTTCATCCTGGAATGCTTTCCAAGAAGCAATGATATTAATTCTTATATGTTTACAGCAACATAGAGCATCAGTTTCTATATGTTAAGTGTGGTTTGATCGTAAGTTTAAAATTTTTTAGTCAGAATTTCGGTCAGACTTTCTATCATTGAACATTGACGATGCGAATTCTACGTCAGCAGACTGTTATGAAAGCATTAAACTCATGCTACTGATAATAAGGAAGTATAGGACTCGTAATCACTAAGCCGACTATCAGGGAAAATCCCAGGCTTACCTATCAAATATCGACGTAGTAATAAGAAAAATACTACTGTTCCGGATATCAGGTCAAGCAGACTTAAGCAGGCAGTAGAACACGACTAAAACTATGCCACAAGTCAGAACTGGATCGATAACTCTTTACCAACTTACAGACTCTTGATCTTGATAAAGAAAACTGCCTTCGTTTTCCTCAACTCGGAGATCTACAGTACCAGCTTTATATTCTTCAACCAAGAAAACAACTTCCGATTGCATTTACTCGATGATCTAGCTACTTAATGTTCGACAACTCAGCATATAATAATTGAGACTCTAATATATAATCTATTGTGAAATCAACCTCTGAGCACGAACACGTTATCATGTATTGTTGTCAACATGGAAGCAAAACTGACTTTCTTTAGAGGAGAGTACCTTGCGATAGCTAGATGAATTGCATGCATATAATGAGAAGCATAGAATAGCTGTATACGATGGCTCCAACCTATTAATTGGAGTCAGTGGATGTTGCAACAAGGGATAACTAACTTCTCGTAAAAGCCGCATTCGAGGAGTTATCGAACTCTGGACCAAATCTTTTATTAAACAATTGAACTGAGGTTTTCAATATACACTACAATTGGATCTCCGCTCCGGAACGATCCGATTCTCAATCGATCAAAGATTGTCAACTCAGCAACAGCTGTATCAACCGGAAGTTTTTCCCCAGGGAAGAACATTCAGTTACAGCCAACCTGTTACAACAACATATACACTACATACGGAATATTCCATATACCTCGGACCTGTCTCTCACAGAGTAGATCACTGAAACTCTAGTTACTGAAAAAGTGATTGTGTACGGGTTTTCCAAGTCAAATTTAAAATTGAGGGAGGTATATATCTAAATTGTGAGCGTCCCAAGTAGTCTAAATTCTACACATAAAGACTATTACGTCAATTTGAGTATTTCTGCCTTCTGATTGTGAGCGTCCCAAGTAGTCTAAATTCTACACATAAAGACTATTACGTCAATTTGAGTATTTCTGCCTTCTGATTGATCTTTTCTAAGAATCCAATAGTATCAAAGGACCACAGCGACACAATTGGTGGACTTATAACTTTTCGAAGTAACAAATGTTATACAACTTAGTTTTGAAGTGTTTATTTAACGGTGGAATAGTGCGATAATAGACTCGACTAGAGTATAGTAGAATTGACCAGAATAGCGCCAACTGAACTAGTATACTATCAATTGGGTTAAAGTAGTATAATTTTGACCGGACGCGAATAGAGCCGTTTGACTATAATATACTGATCAGAATTCGCCTTGAATAGAGTCTTTTTGGACAAGAATAGAGGCTATTCGACAAGAATAGAGGTTATTCGACTAGAATAGAGGCTATTCGACTATAATAGAGGCTATTCGACTAGAATAGAGGCTATTCGACTAGAATAGAGGCTATTCGACTAGAATAGAGGCTATTCGACTAGAATAGAGGATATTCGACTAGAATAGAGGCTATTCTACTAGAATAGACGCTATTCGACTATAATAGAGGCTATTCGACTAGAATAGAGGATATTCGACTAGAATAGAGGCTATTCGACTAGAATAGACGCTATTCGACTATAATAGAGGCTATTCGACTAGAATAGACGCTTTTTGTCTGGAATAGGGGCTATTCGACTAGAATAGACGCTATTCCACTATAATAGAGGCTATTCGACTAGAATAGAGGCTATTCGTCTAGAATAGAGGCTATTCGACTAGAATAGAGGCTATTCGACTATAATAGAGGCTATTCGACTAGAATAAAAGCTATTCGACTAGAATAGAAGCTATTCGACTAGAATAGAAGCTATTCGACTAGAATAGAAGCTATTCGACTAGAACACGGGCTATTTGACTATAATAGAGGCTATTGGACTAGAATCGATTTGAATATATGTATATTTACGAAATATCTCACAACTTCTCACTCAACCTTTTCAACGACTATAGTTAAGCGCATGGCTAAACCAAAACACTAGTACCACCAATTAATGCTTTTAACTTTTATAATCCTTGTCTTATCTCCATAACTCGTACGAGTACAAATGTTGGAAAATCATAACACCAAAAAATAGATCTTTCCACTTAATTTATTCATTAGTATGTGATTCATACGTCAACTTCCAAACGAATGTATTCGTTTTATTTTTAGTATTTAAGCGATAACTTTGACATTGATAAGCTTAAATCTAATTTATCAATTAGAATAAGTTGTAAATTATAATTGAGAATTTATTAAACGCAAATTCGATAAAATAATAGACATTGGCTGGCCAAAAACCTAATCAGTTCATAGTAAAAGTTATAAGGCAACAGATCTGGCAGCAAATTGGAGTTTAATTTATTTAAAAAAAGAAAGAAAAAATTGGTTTTAAATGCTAAATAAAAAATCATTTGATTTATATAAAGATGAAAAAAAGACCAAAACTACCGAAAGATTATATCAACCTAAGAAATTTCGGTAGGTGTTTTGTATAAGGAAGGAAAGTGTTGTGTCATTTATATAGAGCAATTTTATATTTATTTTACTTTTAGTTGGTGTAAATATATTGTTCTGCCTTTATTATTTGGTTTCGTTTTATTATTGATTTTAACAAATGTCGATTTTACCGGGGAAGCCTATAATAAAAATCAAAATTTTCGACAAGAAAATACTATAATGTTTTCACCGGATCAAACTTTACAACCAAATGTTGGAATGTATTCATCGGATAAAACCATTTTGGGATCTTTAGGGTAAGTTTTAATATTGTTCGAATTCAATGCAATTTTCCATATGGTTTGAAGACCTTTTCACCTTGTTTAAGTTCACCAACTTTGCGATACGAAATATAGGCATTTTTCCTTAAAATGACTTTCAAATTGAGGAATCACACTGAGGAATCACCCGACTTGACAAGTATAAACTACACCCGAGTAGAGACGGCTCGACTAGGATGGATTTTATTCGGCTAGAAGAAATTTGACTCGACTATAATAGAAGTTATTGGGAAGGAATAGAGTTGACTCGATTAGAACAGACCCGACATGAGCGGAGCCGAAACGTCTTGACTAGAATAGAGTCGAGTCAACTGGAATACAATCGGTTTTCTATACGAAAGTCGATTCGACTTCAATAGTTTAGATTCGACTAGAATAGAGTATTTTCGTCTACAATGAAGTAGATTCGACTAAAATACAGTCGATTAAAGAATAATAGAGTGAACTAGATGCTACTATCATCTAGTTCACTCTATTATTTAATCGACTCGTCTGGAATAGAATTTATTCGAAATATATTCGACAACAATAGAGTCGATACGACTGGAGTAGAATCGGCTCGATACGACTGAAATAAAATCGCCTAGATTAGAATAAAGTACAATAAGAGACGCGATTCGACTGTAGTATTATCAATTCGTCTTAATTGGAATAGAGTCGATTCAATTGGATTAGTAAGTTGATTCTACAAGAATCTGAGTCGAATGACTCTACTGGAGTACAATCGATTCGACTGATGTAGAGTCCGTGGACTCTATTCGACTAGATTTGAATACATTCTACTGGATTAAAGTCGATTATAATCGAATTGAGTCGATTGGAAAAGAATTGAATCGATTAGAAATAAATCGATTCGGTAAGTATATTCATCTTTAATAGAAACGATTGGATTGGAGTAGAGTCGTTTTAACTGATATGGAGTCGATCTGACTTTATTAGAATCGAACTGGATTACAGCCAAATTGACTGTAGATTCAACTACAAAGTAGTCGATTCAACTACAAAGTAGTCGAGTCAACTAGAATCCAGCTGAACCCGAAGGAATAGTGTTGATTCGATTAGAACCGAGCCGATATGAGCAGATCCGAAACGACTTGACTAGAATAGAGTCGAGTCAACTGGAATACAGTAGGTTCGTCTAGAATAGTGTCGATTCGACTTCAACTGTTTCGAATCGACTAGAATAGATTTTGCTGTAATAGAGTCGATATGACTAAGAATTTGACTAGAATATAGTCGGTTCAGCTACAATAATGCAGTTTTTACTAAAACGTCTTCGCTTCGACTGGAATATCGGCAAACATTCCCAAATAAAAATCATTCATTTCTCTATCACAGAAATATACAACAACTTCCAGCTAAATTTCTTATCTCCTTTATACAAATAAAACCTCAGACTATCAGTGAATAAATCATAAATAATTTCTCTATCTTCATCTCCCTTCCAGCCAAATAAAATCCTCAATATCACGTGCATTAAACTGCATACAGTCTACAGATAGCTGTTCTCTCACTTGTGTTGGCGGTAATATCAATAATATTTACAAACAATTGGAACAGTTGTATAAATCATGTAATAAAGATTTAGATTTAATATTGATTGATTGTTCATTGCCCTCGGGTAGACTGAAGGCCAGTTTCTTTCAAGGCAATTATTATCTGAAAACAATCAACATTACCAATTGTAATTTAGCTGTCATCGATAATAAAGCATTTGCCCAGGAATCTGTTAAAAATCTAAGGAATTTGACACTAATCAATACAAGTTTTCCAACATTAGATATGACTGCCTTTGAGGGTTTACAGCAGTTGGAATATTTCCAATTGGTTAATAAAATATCCTGGTCTACATTTAAGGGTGATGGATTTTTGTTTTATTTTTCTGACACCCTTACCTCTTTGGTCATACAGCAAGAGGCTTCCAAATCTACAGTTTACGATCCCTTGTCCTGGTTGCAGGGTGCAACAATGGAACGTCTCACCTCTGTAAATTTGTCTAATAATAATTTTCAAAATATTTTACACAGCAAAACCTTTGCAACTTTAACTGCTGTACAATATTTGGATCTATCATATTGTTCCCTAACTTTTTTAGAAGCCAAGACATTTGATAGTATTCTCAAGACCCTTAAGCATTTGGATTTAAGTAATAATCATTTGTCTTCAGTACCGGGAGAAATGCTAAGGCATATGAATGGTTTAGAGTTAAATTTATCATTTAATTATTGGTTGTGTACCTGTGATAATAAAGAAATGTTGCAAATTATTAAATGGAAATTGGTAGACTTGCAACTTTTAGATGAAACAAATATCAAATGTTATACACCAATGGAATGGCAAGATGTACCTGTCGATGATTTAGTTTTGGATTGTCTAGTAAGCACTACGTTGGGTATAAGCTGGACTACTAATGGTGAAATAACGGAAGAAGAAACAGGTAAATAGACATTGTTTTACATTTAAGAATACGATTGGGGTTAATGATCGATTATAAGATTGGAATTTTATCGGATAAAGTAGATTCTACTAGGTTAGATAACTATATACAACTATAATATGTAGTTAGTTGGTTAGTTGGTTAGTTAGTTAGTTAGTTAGTTAGTTAGTTAGTTAGTTGGTTAGTTAGTTGGTTAGTTAGTTAGTTAGTTAGTTAGTTAGTTAGTTAGTTAGTTAGTTAGTTAGTTAGTTAGTTAGTTAGTTAGTTAGTTAGTTAGTTAGTTAGTTAGTTAGTTAGTTAGTTAGTTAGTTAGTTGGTTAGTTAGTTAAATAGTTAGTTAGTTAGTTAGTTAGTTAGTTAGTTAGTTAGTTAGTTAGTTAGTTAGTTAGTTAGTTAGCTAGTTAGCTAGTTAGCTAGTTAGTTAGTTAGTTAGTTAGTTAGTTAGTTAGTTAGTTAGTTAGCTAGTTAGTTAGTTAGTTAGTTAGTTAGTTAGGTAGGTAGGTAGGTAGGTAGGTAGGTAGGTAGGTAGGTAGGTAGTTAGTTAGTTAGTTAGTTAGTTAGTTAGTTAGTTAGTTAGTTAGTTGGTTAGTTAGTTAGTTAGTTAGTTAGTTAGTTAGTTAGTTAGTTAGTTAGTTAGTTAGTAGTAGTTAGTTAGTTAGTTAGTTAGGTAGTTAGTTAGTTAGTTAGTTAGTTAGTTAGTTAGTTAGTTAGTTAGTTAGTTAGTTAGTTAGTTAGTTAGTTAGTTAGTAGTTAGTTAGTTAGTTAGTTAGTTAGTTAGTTAGTAGGTAGTTAGTTAGTTAGTTAGTAGTTAGTAGTTGTAGTTAGTTAGTTAGTTAGTAGTTAGTTAGTTAGTTAGTTAGTTAGTTAGTTTGTTTGTTTGTTAGTTAGTTAGTTAGTTAGTTAGTTAGTAGTTAGTTAGTTAGTTAGTTAGTTAGTTAGTAGAGTAGTTAGTTAGTTAGTTAGTTAGTAGTTAGTTAGTTAGTTAGTTAGTAGTAGTTAGTTAGTTAGTTAGTTAGTAGTTAGTTAGTAGTAGTTAGTTAGTTAGTTAGTTAGTTAGTTAGTAGTAGTTAGTTAGTTAGTTAGTTAGTAGTTAGTTAGTTAGTTAGTTAGTAGTTAGTTAGTTAGTTAGTTAGTTAGTTAGTTAGTTAGTTAGTTAGTTAGTTAGTTAGTTAGTTAGTTAGTTAGTTAGTTAGTTAGTTAGTTAGTTAGTTAGTTAGTTAGTTAGTTAGTTAGTTAGTTAGTTAGTTAGTTAGTTAGTTAGTTAGTTAGTTAGTTAGTTAGTTAGTTAGTTAGTTAGTTAGTTAGTTAGTTAGTTAGTTAGTTAGTAGTTAGTTAGTTAGTTAGTTAGTTAGTTAGTTAGTAGTTAGTTAGTTAGTTAGTTAGTTAGTTAGTTAGTTAGTTAGTTAGTTAGTTAGTTAGTAGTTAGTTAGTTAGTTAGTTAGTTAGTTAGTTAGTTAGTTAGTTAGTTAGTTAGTAGTTAGTTAGTTAGTTAGTTAGTTAGTTAGTTAGTTAGTTAGTTAGTTAGTAGTTAGTTAGTTAGTTAGTTAGTTAGTTAGTTAGTTAGTTAGTTAGTTAGTTAGTTAGTTAGTTAGTTAGTTAGTTAGTTAGTTAGTTAGTTAGTTAGTTAGTTAGTTAGTTAGTTAGTTAGTTAGTTAGTTAGTTAGTTAGTTAGTTAGTTAGTTAGTTAGTTAGTTAGTTAGTTAGTTAGTTAGTTAGTTAGTTAGTTAGTTAGTTAGTTAGTTAGTTAGTTAGTTAGTTAGTTAGTTAGTTAGTTAGTTAGTTAGTTAGTTAGTTAGTTAGTTAGTTAGTTAGTTAGTTAGTTAGTTAGTTAGTTAGTTAGTTAGTTAGTTAGTTAGTAGTTAGTTAGTTAGTTAGTTAGTTAGTTAGTTAGTTAGTAGTTAGTTAGTTAGTTAGTTAGTTAGTTAGTTAGTTAGTTAGTTAGTTAGTTAGTTAGTTAGTTAGTTAGTTAGTTAGTTAGTTAGTTAGTTAGTTAGTTAGTTAGTTAGTTAGTTAGTTAGTAGTTAGTTAGTTAGTTAGTTAGTTAGTTAGTTAGTTAGTTAGTTAGTTAGTTAGTTAGTAGTTAGTTAGTTAGTTAGTAGTTAGTTAGTTAGTTAGTTAGTTAGTTAGTTAGTTAGTTAGTTAGTTAGTTAGTTAGTTAGTTAGTTAGTTAGTAGTTAGTTAGTTAGTAGTTAGTTAGTTAGTTAGTTAGTTAGTTAGTTAGTTAGTTAGTTAGTTAGTTAGTTAGTTAGTTAGTTAGTAGTTAGTTAGTAGTAGTTAGTTAGTTAGTTAGTTAGTTAGTTAGTTAGTTCGTAGTTAGTTAGTTAGTTAGTTAGTTAGTTAGTTAGTTAGTTAGTTAGTTAGTTAGTAGTTAGTTAGTTAGTTAGTTAGTTAGTTAGTTAGTTAGTTAGTTAGTAGTTAGTTAGTTAGTTAGTTAGTTAGTTAGTTAGTTAGTTAGTTAGTTAGTTAGTAGTTAGTTAGTTAGTTAGTTAGTTAGTTAGTTAGTTAGTTAGTTAGTTAGTTAGTAGTTAGTTAGTTAGTTAGTTAGTTAGTTAGTTAGTTAGTTAGTTAGTTAGTTAGTTAGTTAGTTAGTTAGTTAGTTAGTTAGTTATTTGGTATGTAATACATACGACAAACCCGAAGAAATACGCCTAGGCTTCTATCGGTGGGAGTCGAACCCTAGACCTCCGGTCTACCAACCACTATACAGATGCCACATAAACTATATGTAAATTCAGATACATTTAACTACATTCTAAACACTTTACAGAAATTACATCCGAAACAACAACAACACCAACCCAGTGTCCGGATAATTCCACTATAACAACTGTAACCTCAGGTGAAATTAGCAGCTCTAGTGACTCCAGTAATGAGTCCAGCAGCAGTAGTCACACATCTGAAGAGACAAACGAAACATCAAGTGAAAGTATTGAAACAACAACAGAAATTTTCACAACTACTACGCCCAAGCCAACTTTATCTACTACCACTAAAAGAACCACCATATTTTATACTACAACTACTACCAGTCGCCCTACAACCAGCCGCCCACTAACGCCTATTTCTTGTTCCAATAAGAGAGCCCACCTACTGATAGTTGAAGCAAAATGTCATTTTTTCATTAAACCTATCTCTGCCACAGCAATAAAAATTGTCACAAATACTTTCCTCACCAACATGAGTGTCATTTATTTTCACGATGCCAGAAATAATACCGTGATCTCAAATATGCAAGAATATTTCACCATAATAAATAATTTAAATTCCTCGGAAATTTATGTCTTTTGTTTGATATGGCATAAATTCAAAAATGGTAAAATTATTTACGATTGGAAAATTTCACCATTCGATTGTCGCAGCTATAGTCATGCGGACGTTTTACCACAACCTTGGCTAGAAAAAGAAGATCAAATTTGGATTATATGTCTTGTGGTATTGGGCTCATGTCTAATGGTATTTTTGGGCATAATCTTGGTGGTGCTAATAAGACGTTGGAAGAATGATTATAAATCTAAATACGAAAGAACCTTTAATAGAGACTCAGAGAGTGAACCTAATTATTTGGAACCAACTGCAAAGTAAGTGTATTTGTAAAGATAATTTGATTTTTTCTTTTTTGTTAGCTATAGCTTTTCTGGGTTTGTTTACAGTATGTCGCATCAAAATTGTGATGTCATTGTACGTCCATTCGCTAGATTGTACGTTTCTCGACACCAACCACCGGATGTTGCGGCTCAACATATAAACTGTGTTCTAAATCATGATTTATATGAGGAATTGATTTTGTAAAAAAAAATATATTTTTTAAATAAATACAATATTACAAAGAAATGGTTAATATCCGATAAAACTGTACTGTTCCGACAAGAACACAGTTTGAGTAGTATATGATCCACTTGACCAAAATACAGTCCTTTCAAATGAAGTAGAGTCGATTTGATTTAAAAATTTGTTGGTTGATTTGGTTAGAATTGAATCAATTTGTCTAGAATAGAATTGATTCGAATAGAATTAGATTAAAATGGAGTTGATTCGACTAGAATAGAATCGATTAAACAATTACAGTGCTGATTCGACTAAAGTAAAAGTCACAGAGTTTATTCAATTAAAATAGAGTCGATTCGACTTGAATATAAATGTTTCGACCAGAATGGTGTTGATTCGATTAGTAAAGAGACGATTTGACTAGAATAGAGTCTATATTAGAAATAAATTAAATTCGACTAGAACAGAACTGTTTCGACTAGAATACCGTCGATTCGACTTGAATAGAGTTGATTCACATTGAGCAGAGTCGACTGAGTTCATTCGGCTAAAATGAGATTGATCCAACTAGAATCGAGTCATATCAAATTGAGTAGAGACATTTATACGGTTCGACTAAAATGAAGTCGATTTGATAAAAACAGAGTCGTTTCAACTAGAAAAGAATTGCTTAGACTATTTAAAGTAAAAGAAGAGCCGATTCGACTAGAATAGACTTAAATATACTAGAATGAAGTTGATTCGACTAAAATATATTTAAATCGACTAAAATGTGACTGATTCCACTAGACTAGAGACGATTCAACTCGAATAAAGTTGATTGGACTAGAATAAAGTCAATTCGACCAGAATAGCCCATTTCGACTAGAATAAGATCAATGATACTAGAGTAAAGTCAATTCGGCAGGATTAAAAATGATTCGACTAAATTATGGTTGATTCGACTACAATAGAGTCAATTCGACTAGATTAAATTCTATTGGTTTAGAATACAGTCGATTTGACTACAATATAGAGACGATTTAACTCGAATAAAGTTGATTGGACTAGAATAACGTCAATTCGACCAGAATAGAGCGTTTCGACTAGAATAAAATCAGTGGGACAACAATAAAGTCAATTCGACTAGAATGAAGATGATTCGACTAAATTATGGTTGATTCGACTACAATAGAGTCAATTTGACTAGAGTAAATTCGATTGGTTTAGAACACAGTCGATTTGACTACAATATAGAGACGATAAAGTTGACTGGACTAGTAAAAAGTCAATTCGACCAGAATAGAGCGTTTCGACTAGAATAAAAACAGTGCATCAAGAATAATTCAATTCGACTGCAATGGTGACGATTCGACTAAATTATGGTTGATCAATTCGACTAGAATAAAGTCGATTTGACTAGTCGACTAGACTGGAATAAAGTTGATTTGACAAGACTAAAGTTGATTCGACTAGACCAAAGTTTATTAATCTAGAACAGGGTCTATTCGATTTAGATTAGATTCGAATAGAATAAAGTCAATTGGACTAGAATATGGTTATTTTGTCTAGAATAGTATTGATTCGACTAGCATAGGGTCGTTTAAACTAGATTGCAGTCAATTAGAATCAATTCGACTAGAATAGAGTCGATTCGACTAGAATATAGTCAATTTGACTAGATTTCAGTCAATTCGATAGGAATAGAGTCGATTTGAGTAGGATAGTAACGATTCGTCTTAAATAGAGTCGACTAAATGGATGAAGTTTCCATGGGACTAGATTGAAGACACTTTTATAAGGGTTGCGTCCATCCGACTATAAACTCGTCTTGAGGTAATTCGACTTGAACGATTATAAAGAAGTCAAATCGAACTAGATTAGTATAATTTAGTCTGGAATGTCTTTGTTTAGTCCTCTGATAAACGTCCAAACAAAATTTTGGCCAAAATTTGTATAAAAATTCAAACTTTTTCGTTTAAATTTATTAAAGGCATAAATTATAAAAATAAGATTCGTAAAAAAAGTATTTCAAAAAACATTAAGCATTTTTTTTAATTTACGGTTTCATAATGATCAATAGTTTGATAATCAGGATCATCTTCTATAACATCCAAATAGTCCCTATTTTGTGAGCGACCTCTCTGCAAACGTCTACATTTGGTTATGGGAGTACAAGAAGATTGATTAAATTTCCTGGAGATTTGAGCTTTAAGTGGTTGATGTAAAGGCGGTAGAATTGGAGCACTCACAGTGGGTGCTGTAAGTTGGGAAGAATATAATGAATTTTCGATATCGTAGTTACCAGCTTCCGGTATGGGTGGTAGGGATTTTAAATAATTTGATGATCTTTGAGATATAGGTGATTGATTTGGACTAAAAGAGAAAACGATTTAATAAAATATTATTTTTTTCCGATTAGTTGAAAACTAACCTTATATATCCTAAACAAGATTTCTTAGATATTAATAACACTTTACGGTTTGTATTATGTATGGGCAATATTCTAGCATTACGATGTAAAAGCCAGTGAGGATTTTGCCGTAGTAGTATATAGACTATAGATATAGCTACAATAAATAATAGTAAAGCTATTACTGTACTAGAGGTAATGAACCAAACTTTATCTGGTGTTAAAAGCCATGATGTATTCGCTTTAGGGCCTTTGATATAATGACCCAAACAATCAAAGGGCGATATTTCTATAGCTGTTAGTGTTATCAAACAAAATATATAGGAACTGGAAGGTTTTAAATCATTTATAATGACTGTGATAATGTCTGATACTGCTTCTTTGTTCAGCATTTCGGTCACAGTCTTATTATCGCTGTAGTTGGTAAAATAAAGAATGATAAAGTCTTGAAGTTCGGCTGTTGCCTGTATATTTATCTGAACACTGTTAAAGGAGTTGGTAAGTATAGAAAAATTGCCATTTGGCTTAATGACATATTTAGTTTTTTCTTCTTCCTCGTTGATCGAATAGCATTTAAGTGATATAAGATATGAGGGTATGTTTAAAGTGGTGTTTGTAGTAATGGTGGTGGGGTTTCCGGTTGTTGGGTTAGTACTTGTATTAGGATCGGTTGAAAAATTCGTTGAATCTTCAGTGGTAATGGGGTAATCTGTTGGTTTAGTTTCATCAGTTTCTATAATGATAGTGGTGGAAATTGTAGTTATAATAGTTGTTGTAATTGGTGGCATCATGGAATATGTTCCACCATTACTGTTAGTTGTGGTGGTGACTTCGCTTTCCTTGCATTCAGTTATCACCTTTATCAATTCCATTTCATGCCATTTTTCGGGAGTTTTACACACTATATCTTCAGCTAATTTACTATCATGTTCTATAAAATATTGCAACATTTCATTGTCACACTCACAATTCCAATCGTTTAAGCTTAGATCCATTTCTATGTGGGCGAGGGTAAACTTTTGCAGAATAATGGAATCTAAAATTTGCAAATGATTGTAACGTAAATCGAGATATTTCAAGGTGCCAACAATAAAATCAAATACTGGTGCTGTAATACTATGTAAATTACAGTTATATAATAACAAATACTCCAATGACTCAAAGCCTTGAAAGGTATTTAATTTTAAAGGTCCCTGCAGATTAGTATTACTCAAATCTAAATTCTTTAAAGTAGTCATCTTTAAATCCAACCACCATGACAAAGAATCCATTACTTCACTACCATTTAAAGCCGGCTGTATTACAGCTTTCTTTAGAATATTTGCCACTGGCTTAAGAAACATCTTTCCCTTAAATCCTTCCGTAACAGGCATTTGTATGAATTCAAAATTGATTAAATTAGTTAAACCCTCAAAACTACTTTCATCTAAAGTTATTAACTGATTATATCTCAATATTAAAGTTTGTATATTTTTAGAATTATTATGTTTGAAGGCAGCTGCTTTAATAGTCTTCAAATTACATTCAGTTATGGAAAAGTAACCCAGTGAGAAATCACCAAAAAAGAACGATTGTTGTAATACACCCAAAGCAAATTCACATTTCTCTACAATTAAACTTAAATCGATATTTTTGCACTTGGTTTGTAATATATCTAAATTATCATCGACATAACTGACACTGCCATCTATGCAGTATAAAGTGCAATTTTCAACATATTCTACACAGCCGATGGCGTTAGCTAATGCTGTGTCTGGCATATTTATTGGAAGTGGAACGCTGTTGCTCATATCTGCATCTTTAACTTGAACTTGTTGAATTTCATTTCCGGTTACTTTTCTCTCTGATAACTCTAAGCTAATGTTCGTTCCACTTGTCTTTAGGAGAACTCCATCAATTGTTGTTGTCGTTAAGCTTTTGTTGCACATTGCACCGATATTGAGTTTGTTAGTAACATTATTTAAATGTTTACGTTTAATTTTATGTTTAAAATCCACATTCATAAGAATTAATACTAGAAAGAGAACAATTAATGCAGCAGCGAAGATATATTTTAAGTATCTGAAATCAAATAGAAATCGTAATTTTTTGTATTAAATACTAGTGTGAGGTAAACACTGATTTACTCGCTGAGGCAAAGTTTTAGCATTTGTCATAAAGAACAAAAATTTTGAACATATAAAATCAAAAAACTTTATCTTTAAGATTAAAATCGCAAAAAATGATTTTTACGTGTTAAAAATATATGTATATCAAAAGCATTTTTAAATTAGGCGTATACTTAATATTTGTAATATCATTAAATTCTTAAAACTTATACGTATAGGTGTCGTTAATAAAAGCAGTGTAATTTCACAAAGTAAAATTTTCTACTTGAAATGGAAATGTGAATATGTATGAAGTTTTTTTGGATTTAATATAATTACAATTTGTGTTCAACAAGAGCTACAACTTTGCCTCAGAGTGTATGATCTATAAAAAATGTCGCCTAAAATCAGTGATTAGGCCGCAGATATGCTGATGAAAAAGTTGGAATTTTAACAAAACAAGTACTCCAATATTATTACTGATCACAAATCTTTCAAAAAAGGTATGATATCACACTTTCAAAAATGTCGCGTGAAGCCTAATT